ATGGAGGGGTGGGGGAGGGTTGTTGTGTTGGTGTGTATATGGAGGGGTGGGGGAGGGTTGTTGTGTATATGGAGGGTTGGTGTATATATGGAGAGGTGGAGGAGTGTTGGTGTATATATGGAGGGGTGGGGGAGGGTTGTTGTGTATATGGAGTGTTGGTGTATATATGGAGGGGTGGAGGAGGGTTGTTGTGTTGGTGTATATATGGAGGGGTGGAGGAGGGTTGTTGTGTTGGTGTGTATATGGAGGGGTGGGGGAGGGTTGTTGTGTATATGGAGGGTTGGTGTATATATGGAGAGGTGGAGGAGTGTTGGTGTATATATGGAGGGGTGGGGGAGGGTTGTTGTGTATATGGAGGGGTGGTGTATATATGGAGGGGTGGAGGAGGGTTGTTGTGTTGGTGTATATATGGAGGGGTGGAGGAGGGTTGTTGTGTTGGTGTGTATATGGAGGGGTGGGGGAGGGTTGTTGTGTATATGGAGGGTTGGTGTATATATGGAGAGGTGGAGGAGTGTTGGTGTATATATGGAGGGGTGGAGGAGGGTTGTTGTGTTGGTGTATATATGGAGGGGTGGAGGAGGGTTGTTGTGTTGGTGTGTATATGGAGGGGTGGGGGAGGGTTGTTGTGTATATGGAGGGTTGGTGTATATATGGAGAGGTGGAGGAGTGTTGGTGTATATATGGAGGGGTGGGGGAGGGTTGTTGTGTATATGGAGGGGTGGTGTATATATGGAGGGGTGGAGGAGGGTTGTTGTGTTGGTGTGTATATTTGGAGGGGTGAAGGAGGGTTGTTGTGTTGGTGTGTATATGGAGGGGTGGAGGAGGGTTGTTGTCTTGGTGTGTGTATGGAGGGGTGGTGGAGGGTTGTTGTGTTGTTGTGTATATGGAGGGGTGAAGGAGGGTTGTTGTGTTGGTGTGTATATGGAGAGGTGGAGGAGGGTTGTTGTGTTGGTGTGTATATATGGAGAGGTGGAGGAGGGTTGTTGTGTTGGTGTGTATATTGAGGGGTGGTGTATATATGGAGAGGTGGAGGAGGGTTGTTGTGTTGGTGTATATGGAGGAGTGGAGGAGGGTTGTTGTGTTGGTGTGTATATGGAGGGGTGGAGGAGGGTTGTTGTGTTGGTGTGTATATGGAGGGGTGGGGGAGGGTTGTTGTGTATATGGAGGGGTGGTGTATATATGGAGGGGTGGAGGAGGGTTGTTGTGTTGGTGTGTATATGGAGGGGTGGAGGAGGGTTGTTGTGTTTGTGTATATGAAGGGGTGGTGTATATATGGAGGGGTGGAGGAGGGTTGTTGTGTTGGTGTGTATATGCAGGAGTGGAGGAGGGTTGTTGTGTTGGTGTGTATATGGAGGGGTGGTGGAGGGTTGTTGTGTATATGAAGGGGTGGTGTTTATATGGAGGGGTGGAGGAGGGTTGTTGTCTTGGTGTATATGGAGGAGTGGAGGAGGGTTGTTGTGTTGGTGTGTATATGGAGGGGTGGGGGAGGGTTGCTGTGTATATGGAGGGGTGGAGGAGGGTTGTTGTGTTGGTGTGTATATGGAGGAGTTGAGGAGGGTTGTTGTGTTTGTGTATATAAAGGGGTGGTGTATATATGGAGGGGTGGGGGAGGGTTGTTGTGTTGGTGTGTATATGGAGGGGTGGGGGAGGGTTGTTGTGTATATGGAGGGGTGGTGTATATATGGAGGGGTGGAGGAGGGTTGTTGTGTTGGTGTATATATGGAGGGGTGGAGGAGGGTTGTTGTGTTGGTGTGTATATGGAGGGGTGGGGGAGGGTTGTTGTGTATATGGAGGGTTGGTGTATATATGGAGAGGTGGAGGAGTGTTGGTGTATATATGGAGGGGTGGAGGAGGGTTGTTGTGTTGGTGTATATATGGAGGGGTGGAGGAGGGTTGTTGTGTTGGTGTGTATATGGAGGGGTGGGGGAGGGTTGTTGTGTATATGGAGGGTTGGTGTATATATGGAGAGGTGGAGGAGTGTTGGTGTATATATGGAGGGGTGGGGGAGGGTTGTTGTGTATATGGAGGGGTGGTGTATATATGGAGGGGTGGAGGAGGGTTGTTGTGTTGGTGTGTATATTTGGAGGGGTGAAGGAGGGTTGTTGTGTTGGTGTGTATATGGAGGGGTTTGAGGAGGGTTGTTGTCTTGGTGTGTGTATGGAGGGGTGGTGGAGGGTTGTTGTGTTGTTGTGTATATGGAGGGGTGAAGGAGGGTTGTTGTGTTGGTGTGTATATGGAGAGGTGGAGGAGGGTTGTTGTGTTGGTGTGTTTATGGAGGGGTGGGGGAGGGTTGTTGTGTATATGGAGGGGTGGTGTTTATATGGAGGGGTGGAGGAGGGTTGTTGTGTTGGTGTGTATATGGAGGAGTGGAGGAGGGTTGTTGTGTTGGTGTATATATGGAGGGGTGGGGGAGGGTTGTTGTGTATATGGAGGGGTGGTGTATATATGGAGAGGTGGAGGAGGGTTGTTGTGTTGCTGTGTGTATGGAGGGGTGGTGGAGGGTTGTTGTGTTTGTGTATATATGGAGGGGTGGAGGAGGGTTGTTGTGTTGGTGTGTGTATGGAGAGGTGGAGGAGGGTTGTTGTGTTGCTGTGTGTATTGAGAGGTGGAGGAGGGTTGTTGTGTTGGTGTGTATATGGAGGGGTGGTGGATGGTTGTTGTGTTGGTGTGTATATGGAGGGTTGAAGGAGGGTTGTTGTGTTGGTCTGTATATGGAGGGGTTGAGGAGGGCTGTTGTGTTGGTGTGTGCATGGAGGGTTGGTTCAGGGTTGTTGTGTTGGTGTATATGAAGGGGTGGTGTATATATGGAGAGGTGGAAGAGGGTTGTTGTGTTGGTGTATATGGAGGAGTGGAGGAGGGTTGTTGTGTTGGTGTGTATATGGAGGGGTGGGGGAGGGTTGTTGTGTATATGAAGGGGTGGTGTATATATTGAGGGGTGGAGGAGGGTTGTTGTGTTGGTGTATATGGAGGGGTGGGGGAGGGTTGTTGTGTATATGAAGGGGTGGTGTATATATGGAGGAGTGGAGGAGGGTTGTTGTGTTGGTCTATATGGAGGGGTGGAGGAGGGTTGTTGTGTTGGTGTGTCTATGGAGGGGTTGTGAGGGTTGTTGTGTAATGAAGGGGTGGTGTATATATGGAGGGGTGGAGGAGGGTTGTTGTGTTGGTGTGTATATGGAGGAGTGGAGGAGGGTTGTTGTGTATATGGAGAGGTGGAGTAGGGTTGTTGTGTTGGTGTGTATATGGAGGGGTGGGGGAGGGTTGTGTATATTGAGGGTTGTTGTGTATATGGAGGGGTGGAGGAGGGTTGTTGTGTTGGTGTGTATATTGAGGGGTTAGGGGAGGGTTGTTGTGTATATGAAGGGGTGGTGTATATATGGAGGGGTGGAGGAGGGTTGTTGTGTTGGTGTGTATATGGAGGAGTGGAGGAGGGTTGTTGTGTTGGTGTATATGGAGGGGTGGTGTATATATGGAGGGGTGGAGGAGGGTTGTTGTGTATATGGAGGGGTGGAGGTGGGTTGTTGTGTTGGTGTATATGGAGGAGTGGAGGAGGGTTGTTGTGTATATGGAGGGGTGGTTTATATATGGAGAGGTGGAGGAGGGTTGTTGTGTATATGGAGTGGTGGTGTATATATGGAGAGGTGGAGGAGGGTTGTTGTGTTGCTGTGTGTATGGAGAGGTGGAGGAGGGTTGTTGTGTTTGTGTGTATATGGAGGGGTGGTGGAGGGTTGTTGTGTTGGTGTGTGTATGGAGGGGTGGTGGAGGGTTGTTGTGTTTGTGTGTATATGGAGGGGTGGTGGAGGGTTGTTGTGTTTGTGTGTATATGGAGGGGTGGTGGAGGGTTGTTGTGTTGGTGTGTATATGGAGGGTTGGAGGAGGGTTGTTGTGTTGGTGTGTGTATGGAGAGGTGGAGGAGGGTTGTTGTGTTTGTGTGTATATGGAGGGGTGGTGGAGGGTTGTTGTGTTGGTGTGTATATGGAGGGGTGAAGGAGGGTTGTTGTGTTGGTCTGTATATGGAGGGGTGGGGGAGGGCTGTTGTGTTGGTCTGTATATGGAGGGGTTGAGGAGGGCTGTTGTGTTGGTGTGTGCATGGAGGGTTGGTTGAGGGTTGTTGTGTTGGTGTGTATATGGAGGGTTGGAGGAGGGCTGTTGTGTTGGTGTGTGCATGGAGGGTTGGTTGAGGGTTGTTGTGTTGGTGTGTATATGGAGGGGTGGTGGAGGGTTGTTGTGTTGGTCTGTATATGGAGAGGTGGAGGAGGGTTGTTGTGTTTGTGTGTATATGGAGGGTTGGTTGAGGGTTGTTGTGTTGGTGTGTATATGGAGGGGTGAAGGAGGGTTGTTGTGTTGGTCTGTATATGGAGGGGTTGAGGAGGGCTGTTGTGTTGGTGTGTGCATGGAGGGTTGGTTGAGGGTTGTTGTGTTGGTGTGTATGTGGAGAGGTGGAGGAGGGTTGTTGTGTTGTTGTGTGTATGGAAAGGTGGAGGCCGGTTGCTGTGTTGGTGTGTGTATGTGGAGAGGTGGAGGAGGGTCGTTGTGTTGGTGTGTGTATGGAGAGGTGGAGGAGGGTTGCTGTGTTGGTGTGTGTTGAAGGTATGCGGAAAGTGTGTTTGTTGTGTTGGTGTGTGTGTTGAAAGTGAGAGAAATCATGGTTGTTGTTCAGAGAAAGTGATCCCCTGTACACTGTCAGCTGTCAGGGGAGCTTACTTGTCAAGATAAGATATTGTTTTGTCTTGTACCTTTTGCAAGAATGTTACTCATTTGGGATCGATGACATGCTTCAACCAAATCAGCGGGCCTGATCACACGATACCGTTAGTCGCCTCTTACGACAAGCATATTCGCCTTTCACGACAAACATGGGTTGCTGAAGATCAATTCTACCCCTGATCTTCACGGGCCGTAAGAAGTATGTACTTGACTGACATGGCGTGTGCAAATAATTTCCAATTAACTTGTTTACCTTTGGGTGCGCTCCGTCACATAATAGAGTATAAGAGCACACTTTCCGGCGTATCAATAATTTACAGACTTTACTTCAATCAGTGGATAGTATTTATTCGTAAGCATGGTTACATCATCATCATTAGATTTGTTCAAACCCACGTTTGTACAAGAGTACAATATAATAAAAACTTACATTGGGTAAACATACATGGAATAATACAACAACATACTTTACATTCATTGTTGTCTATAAGGCTTTGGATGTTGTGCACTTAGTCAAACAACTTTTGAGTAAGTGTAGCACGACGCTCTTTGGAATCGTCGTAAACAGAGCATGCTTGACTGTACTTCAAAAGCTGAAACATGTGACACTAAAGGCTTGAGCTGCTGGAATATTCCTCACATAAAGAGAAAGTTGACTAATAACATTGATGGGGATGCCTACTTCTTGCCCAAATGTCTTACCCCCAACTATTACACAGATGTTAGCAATGGGAAAGTCCATTTCGATATAGATTCTTACACCGTTATCAAGCTGGAGTGACACGTACCACGTGATGATGCATGATGTGTTGTGATAAGAAATCAGATTGACATTGACAACAGCTAATAGATAACAAGTAGCACACATATAATTAGATGAAGCAAAATGTACAGTAAGATTAACAAATAGCACACGGGTAATGAATGAATAAAACAGTTTATGAAGCAAGACGTACAAAAGAATAAAAAGTTTTGACAAGCTGATTGGATAATATTAAAAATGGGTGTTGTTTGATTACATCATCAAAGGCAGAAGACTGATAGATAGATAGATATATTTTCTTTATTTCCTCGTAATATGACGATTACAGCATATATATACAGTGTGTATAGTTATTACACCACAAGAGCTTAACTATAGCCAGTTGTAGTGGAAGTCAACAGAAACAGTATATATACATTGTTATAACAGAAACGCCCACTTTCTTATTGTGCAACATATGGTGAGGACCATCTGCTGCGATGCATGGAAATCTAAACTTGTTTCACATTAAGCAGGTATACCCCCAACCAACAGAGATACAAATACGTCATCTTCATCTTCCCATATTCTACAAATATGTTAACATCAAGTAAATCACAAATTCTTTTGAAAAGGAGGTCTCCTTCGTGGAGGTCGATTTGACATAAAAACATGTTTAACAATATCATTAGCAAATGTGCCACATTGACATTCTTTAGACTGTATAGAGGATGATCCCATGCGTGCAAGCCTAGCAATGTCAGCAAAGTTATCTGAGTGGATGTTAGCAACTTTCATAACCTCTGTGCACTACCTGATCTGATTGCGATATATCTGACAGTGATAATCTGGTCGGAAGTTTTCTTTCTATTGCTAATGCATCATGGTGGCGTACACTTCGCTTTACTAACTGGGTCCAACATTTCTTCTAAATAAAACGAGAATTATATACAAAGTTGTCTATTTCATCGCCCAGTTTATATTTTGTGGCAAGCCCTAACATGTTAAAGATTTGTGACTTCATATCCCATTCCGCTTTTCAACGACTGCTACTTTGCATTTATACTGAGCTTAGCCTGGCCATGAATAGATGTTTAAAGATAAAACCTTGATTTTTGTGTTAAGAAGTTTCCCCAAGAGAAGAGGTACACACTGATCTATCTAAATATCTTTGAAGGGATATGCTTGAATTACATAAGGTGTTTGTTTTGGAAACCCTTGCATTTTCTTACAGAAGTATTGTTGTCTTATTTCTAAAATTTCATACTCTTTCAGCGAGAGCCTTGCCCACACATTACAGCCACATAGACCACATGGTAAAACAAGTCTTTCCCATGCACGAACAGCAGCAATTGGGTTAAGATCACCAAAGACCAAGCCAAAGTTCTGATCAATATTACTCAATTGTCTCAGTTTCTCACAATCTAGGGTCGGACGTTCAAGGGATGATCTGCCTGCACAGATACATACACCTGCATATTTAACAGAATCCTTTACTGGGAGTTTGGTTTCTCCCAGATAGTTTGAGGGTGGCGCGTCCATTAGCTTAGAGGATGATACTAAAGGATGGGGAGCCAGTGAAGACAGTATCAGTGCCTGATTGGTGCTTATGTATTCTACTGATTTGTTGAGAAGTCTTGCCAGTGTATGGTAGTGGGCGGATCGTTGTGCCATCCTACAAGCTTATGGCCGTAACCCTCCCTCCAACACGTTGCTCTCACAGTCCTCCGTCTAATAACTTCAATAATTCTGAGTGTAGCTGTTAAACAACAAACACACACCCGCGCGGGCACATTGAAACGCACACATTAGTTATTATTTATTCAATTTTCAAATAATTTCTTCCACAGCCGCCACTGATTATCAAAATTTTTTGCAAAATTAAATAACGCAAAATACAGTTCAAAATAGATTATTGATTATTCTGTTATCCAGTTTGGTCATGACTGAATTCACAATTTAGTTATGTGAGAACCGATTGCTCGGTTAACCTCTGCATTTCTATTATTAATGTCTTCGCAACAATAATGAAACTCTTATCAATAGCGGAAAGATGCTTTTGAAAACCTGTTTGGTAGGGTGCAAATTTTGAATTTTTTCTTTCGCGATAGGGTCTTTTGCATTGGAAAATTTAGCTGTGTTTGTTTTCCGTAAAAGCCAATGTATATTACTTTATTAAAGACAACTATCGATACAACTTATTGAATATGGGTGTGAAGCCAACGACTCAAAGAGGCCACTCTCCCTGTGGAGATTCCAGGTTTGAATATGTCCTTAACACCTGATCATGATGCTGGCCTTAAGAACCGACTTAATGTATAGGATGGTCAGGGTTAGTGACTTTATTATAGTGTGCCAAAGTATCCCAATTAAGTGGCTCGATGCATATGACGGCAATCGCTGGATTGTCTGGCCACCGTCATAAAGCCGGAATATTGGTGAGTGCAAGATATGAGACTCAGTACTGCCACATATCAACGACCTCTAAGCGCATTCAGTTATGTTGCATCGCTCCCAGCGCTTGGTGGGATCTGTTGTGTAGCACCACGGTGTGTCCACTGCGTCAGAAAGTACAACACGGCAGTAGTTAGCTACTTCCTCCATAGTTTCACCAGTCGCGAAACTGCCAGGGGCGTCGCCATTACCAGGATGATTGTGGGTAGTGTGGTCAGCCCACCTCTGACATTCTCTGCCTGAAAGGGTGACATCTAACGTGCCATTGTAGAAGACTCTTATCTTGACAACAGTCCCGTCTTGATGCAGCTGTTCTGTGCCCGGTATGTAACACTCTTGCCCTGAGTAAAAGCGTTAGGTGTTGATATACAATACATACAGTCAGGGCATGAATACAAATGCGTGTATTTTCACGGTATTAAAGCAAGCGAAACAATCTTGATTAACGAGGATCTGGTTCGATAAAAGTAGAAAATGAAACACAGCGTTGCAAGGCAGAATACTATGATAGCCATTGTAGAAGGCTCTTGTCTTGACAAGGGGGCACGGTTGGCTAGGTCGTCTAAGGCGCCGTGATTCGCTGTGCAGAGATGCGTCCCTTGGGCACAACAGAAACCTATAATTGTGGTTTGCCCCGATTATGTTTGTCAGCACCATACTCGTGCTCGTGGGTTTCACCAAAGTGGTAAACGTCTGAGACCTGCATCACTTCGGACATCAAGCTGACACGCCAGGATATAACTGGAATAATGTTAAAAGCGGCGTTAAGCCCAACTCACTCACTCACCCTTGTCTTGACCACATTCCCGTTTCGAAGCAGCTGTTCCGTGCCGGTTTGTAACAGTCTTGCCCTGAGTATAAGCTTTACATGTTGATGTACAATACATTCTGTCGAAGGATCCAGCGTACGAGAAGCTGTATTTGACGGTTTTAAAGCTTACTAAATCCGAGATTCTCCCTGATTATGTTTCGAGCTTTGTCAGCATCATGCCTGTACTGGGGGGTGTTCACTAAAGTGGTAAATGTGAATACCCCCACCCCTTTCCCCTGACAAGCGGTGATATAACTGAAATACTGTTGAAAGCAGTGTAACCAAAACAAACTCACTCACACGTGAAACATACCTGATTTCAGTGGTGCTGGCATTACTCGGCGGTAGTTCTGGAAGGTGAAAATGATTATGTGCATGTTGAGACATACTCTATCTTTCTATTAGGCTCAGAGTGTGTCAGTAAACACTCAGACATAAGACTCAAGATCATTGAAATAAAAGGCAACCTATGTATAGGTTTTATATATGGTAATGTAAGCAGGGTATTCTGTTAGAGTTCTGTCATATTATGCTTTCCTCACTCATTGTGCTGACACAAACCTGGATAAAAGAACATCAAAGCTCAGTCTCCAAAGATGACTCAAAATCAGCTCTATCAGACCACATCTGTGACAACCCAAACCACAGCATTCAGTGGGAGATAGTCACAGCCCTCACCACCAACCTCGAAGACTTCAAAATCAGGAAACTACAACAAGCCATCAACATCAGAAGACTCCCTCCGTCCATCAACCGTGACCAATGCTATACCCCCGGCATACCATCAACTCATCAAAGACCCCAATCAGCCATAATCCCATTGTTTTTATTACTGGCTTCATTCTTTGGTTATGTCACTGACTTCACCGACGATTGTCATCACTACCCTTGTGTATAAATAAAAGGCTTCTCTACTCCAGTATAACAATATCTACTCTACTGTACAAACATTGCCTCCTACTTGTATATATACTTGTCAACCACACTCTGTATATCACTTGCAGCAGACAGCAGCTCGAAAGGTTTTATTGCATGAGTGGCGCAAAATCTTGCTGACGTCATCCGGCGACTAACAACACCTACGAGGATACTTTTTCGCGTGGAATCATGCAGGGGGTGGTCACACATGTCTTGTCACAAGATTTGACTTTAAGAGCACCTTTTGAGTGGACTCTGTTTGAATTGTTTTAATGTATTTTTTTATTTTGACCCCCATGTTTCTTTCGCTCGGCCGTATAGCAAGGGCACTATTGATATGACATTGTAATTTTGTAAGGACCTACAAAATTATTCCTGTCAGTAAAATGATCATCATATACTTTACACTTGTCTTTGTTTCTTTTTATGGAGCTACTGAACAAGGCAATAAGTTTCTTTTGCCCAGTAGTTTATTATTTTCTAATTGCATGTTGTCAACAAACGTGTTGGAACAAACTTGGAACTGTGTGTACTTCAGACGCCTGGCAGGGCAGTTCAAGGTATGACTTGTGTAGAATTTTTAAGAGTCTTATTCAACCAGAAAAAAACTTATCTACATTAGCATCAAGAACCCTTCAACGTCTATTTATTCAATTTAGGCTTGGGTTGTTTGATCTCATGATAAATGAAAGAAGGAGAACGTCCACTGAAAAATCGAAGCAGTTATGCCCATCATGTCATTCAGCTATAGACAATGAAATTCATTTTACTTTTGTATGTCCTATTATCGTGATGGAAGAACAAGGTCAAATTATCCTGTTCCTGCTTTTATTTCTCTTTTCTCTTAAAAAGAAATCTCCTATGATATAAAGACTGGCTACATATGGTACAAATGCAATTTCCTTCTGACACTAGTTGTTGACATTAGTATATATCCAAATATGTAAAACTACTTATATGTAACTCCTTTGTATATTGGCCGGAGGCCTCAAATGTAATAAATATCTTTGGCCTTTGGCCTTTGGCAGGACTGTAATGATAGGGAGACGGAACCAGTCTGTCTTGCTGCTCAGTTGTAGCTATTTGTTTTGCCAGCACTATGCCCTTTGCTTGTGGGTTTTACCAAAAGTGCTAATCGCTCATTCATATCAGGTATTCCTCCCACCCCAAACTGTCCATTGTACGATTCAAACCATATCAACCAACCAACTTATTAGAATGTTCCATCAGAATGTTTAATTTGGCAGATGGATGTCTTAGCGGAAGGACTTTATCGAAATACTTCAACAGAAGTAAGTCGGAAGGAGGATAGCATCGATAGGAAGCTTATTGTGGCAGCACAGGATCAACATGATCTGCGTATATTCACGAAAAAGTGTCTCGAAATACTGTTAACATGGGGAATATTGTCACATGAACACTGTCAGTAGAAAGATTTTGGAGAGAAGTACTATATCGACAGAAGAGCTAGAAGTAGGATGATAACAGTGTATGCATGATTTTAGTCCTTGTGGGAATGGAAGCGTCAGCATTAATAATAAGTTATCTTATCATAACGTACCTGCACAGTGTTCCAGTCGCTGATAATGGAGGTAACGACATCTCTGACGTCAACGTTGTTTGGTGAGGAAAACTCAAACTGGGAGTACACACTGCAATTCCTTGTCTTCTTGTAAGTGAAAGCTTTGCATGTTGCCATCATTTGACATTCTCGCACACAGCCCAACATGCCTCCCACAGTAATAGTCTCTAAAGGCAGACCAACCACCGTGTAGTTGTTGTTCAGTTGGGGGAATCTGTTCACATCTGCGCAAACGTTTTGTCTTGACAGGCACAAGCAAGAGCATAATAAGCCCACAATTATAAATAACATTCTGTTTGTAAACACCGTGGTTCGCAATGAATTTACCTGTCCAATCAGTGTTTAAAAAACATTCAATACCAAAACAATCGATACATATTTCAGTTGTCCATCTAATCGTGCCACACTTATGGTATCAACACCATCTCAGTACAGAGAGAGTAGTTTTGTATCTAATTGTGTATCTCCTTGGCGTCATGGCAATATGTTAATACCTACAATGAATTACAAAGAATTACAACACGAACGAGTCAAGGCGTCAAGAGAGTAGCGTAATGTGTCTGTTTACCATCTGCGATGGTATTATTGTTAGATGAATCAATAAAACAACTAAATGAAAACCGGTAAAACAAACAAGCTCATCCATACAACATGAAGGTTTGTGTGCCTTTTGTTACCACCACTTCCAACCACGCTTTCATTCCCCTGTTGTGTTGCCGGGACGGAATTGACTGCGAAACAACCTGTGATAGTTGTTCAACACGCCACAATGGAACTGGTGTTCAGGCTCGATGTTACGGTTGATAGATTCATTTACACCCCAGGAGAACAGAAACTGATTGTGTTACATTGTTTTGTGTGACGTAAGTCCTTCACCTTTGCCCTATGTGCTGATGTTAACATCAATGTTGATGTATCAAGAACTAGCACACCGGATTTAATTAGTGTTTCATGTCAGACCATCGAATATAACGTCTTTATCCAGCATTCTACCTACCCGACGAACATGTTACGATCTGTCTGCTGAATAAGCTGTCGAATTTTGAATGAGCGGGCTTGTAAAAGAAAAGCTCATTGACTCAGTAACATTTGGTGCTCAACATGCATATGGCTATCACATACACAGAAACTTCAAAACGTTTTCAATAATCATAAAGGGAATATAGGCTAAACGTAGAATCCATTGTATGATTCTGACCATATAGAAAGCATGTGTTTATTAATCACTATCAAGTGGTGATTACACAAGGTGTTCCCGAAAACGTGAGTATATCCTGCCTCGTCAGTGGCATGCATAACAAACACATACAAAGGCAAGTCAACGTTCTACCTCAAATAGTATGGTGCCATAAAGTACAGGTCAAAACAAGGAATCAGACATTTTGTTGTTTCTGATACGTTACGTTGCGAAATGTCCCCCACATGCCTATCACGAAAGCATGCTACTAAAACATGCCTTCAGTACTGCAAACCTGATTTTGAGCAATCGTCGCATGACGCTCTGCATGTTTCATGTTTTTACCCAAACATTTTGAAATGTAGACAGCGAAGTCTGGAGTCGATGGAATATTACTCAAGCAAAAGCGAAAATTTAAATAATGCCTTCTTCTGTGGGCATGTTTCTGTCACTCACAGGTCTAAATATGAAATAGATAAGGCACTTTCACTGGTCGCTGTTATTTCTACCTCAAATGCATATATCAGTGGCAGGAAGGTGGCTAGTTGACCATTATTGAACGATAGCGAATGATCCATTTATCTTAAGCTTAAGATTGACTTTTTGCCCTTCTTTTTAAATTTTGCTTGGTTTCTTATCATACAAACTCTGATAAGGAGGATTAAAAGCGATGTTAAAAGCTGGATTTGGTGGATTGGAATGAAGTTTAGTAACGTATTGGAGTGCCAGTTTTATTCTTCTGATATCCAGACAAGGTTCATTAGCTTCAACATATAAACTTGCAACAGGGGAAGTTCGAAATGCACCCAGACACAATCTAAGACCTTGATGGTGAATGGTGTCAAGCTCTTTAATGTATGATAGTCGGGCTGAACCATATATGAAACAACCGTAATCCAGTTTAGATCGAATGAATGTTCTAAATAGATGTCACCGAGTTTGTTGGTCTACACCCCATTTTGCATTTGATACCACCTTAATGATATCAAGTGCTTTTAAACATTTAGCCTTTTGATTTTTACATGAGGTATAAAAGATAAGATATGATCAAAGGTGAGACCTAAATACTTGGTTTCTTTGACCACTTTTATAGGAATATTATTCAAAGTCAGTTCTGCATTAATTTGTAATTTCCGTTTATTGCAAAAATGAATACATCAGGTTTTAGTTTAAGAGAACTTAAAACCATTTTCTTGAGACCATTTTGCATTTTATTAAGGCAAAGTTGTAACTGAATTTGAATAGTATTAATATTTCTACCATGGCAAGATTCATTGAAATCATCAACAAAAAACGAACTATCAATGTTTTCATCTAAATCCTTTGAAAGGCTATTGATTTTTATGCTAAAAGTGTCACTGAAAAAATACTGCCGTGAGGGATCCCCATTTCCTGATCATGTATCTCAGATAGCCCACTCGAACTTTAAATTGTCTATCTTCTAAAAAGCTTGTAATAAAACCAAGCATACGGCCACGCAGACCCCTTTTATGGAGATCTTTTAAGATGTCATATTTCCATGTTGCATCGTATGCCTTCTCCAAATGAAAAAAAGATTGATACAACATGTTGATTATTTAAAAAAACCAACCTTGCGTATAAATGACTCTAATCTAACCAAATGATCAATGGTGCTCCTCTGGTGCCTGAAACCGGACTGAATATCAGTTATCAGGTTATTAGATTCCAAATACCAGTTAAGACACCTGTTGATCATTTGTTCCGTGGTTTTACAGATGCAACTTAGTTAAGCTTTTGGGCGGTAATTAGAAGGATTCGTGTGATCCTTCCCTGGTTTTGGCACAGGGATGATAATAGCCTCATGTCAAGAAGACGACAATTACCTGATTCCCAAATACTATTGAAAATGTACAAGAGAGTTAACTGAGATGATGTTTCAATAATTGATAATGGATATCATTTTGCCCAGATGCTTTATCGTGAGCTTTGTTGCAGTTCACATAACGAAAAGGATTCATTGTATTGTATCATTGTATTATCAGATTTGAAATTAAGAATCTTCTTTTCCTGCTGATTTCGATACCTTTGAAATTTAGGATCATAATTGGCAGACGATGAATTTTTACTGATTGTCTCTGCAAGCTTATTAGCGATGTCCATTTTGGAAGTTAATGTCTCATTATCAACTGTTAAGTGTTGAACACTGCGTGTAGACCCTTTACCTTTTGAAACAAAGCTTCACACATTGTACCCATGTCGGGAATCGAAACCGGGTCTTCGGCGTGACGAGCGAACGCTTTAACCGCTACGCTACCCGACCGCCCCTGTTCATGGTAGGAACGAGGAAGGCAAAGGCATGGATCATAATGCCACAATGGGGACTCATCACTTAATACATGCAGTGAGTGAAAGTGGGCTTGGTTGAAATGTCATGGCAGTTTCCTGCAGCCAAAATATTTGATACTAAACCAATTCATCCTCCTCCCTTGGTGTTTTTTTGTGCGTGAAGGATAAATGCAACTAAAATTTGAGAGCAGTTACCGGCAATAAATAATTGTTAAGTGCCTTTATTGCCACACGTTAACATTTCAGCTTTAAAATGCATAAGAAGAGGGTAGCAAAATGTTTCATTTGACAACTAGGGCCACACGTCCAATGGAAGTGATAATTCATTTTACATAACAACTTGACCCGTGAAGATACAGGGTAGAATAGGTCTTCAGCAACCCATCCTTGCCGTAAAAGGCGACCATGCTTGTCGTAAAAGGCGACAACGGGATCGGCTGGTCAGGCGCGCTGACTTGGTTGATACATGTCATCGTATCCCAATTGCGTAGATCGATGCTCATGATATCAATTACTGGATTGTCTGGTTCAGACTCGATTATTATACAGACCGCCGTCATAAAGCTGAAATATTGCTGAGTGCGGCGTTAAACAATAAACTAACCAACTAGCATAACAACACATATATACTCTTTAAAAAAAGAAACTTGACATAGATGTAAACCACTTGTTGCCAAAATTTTAAAACAATTACATTAAAAGAGAACCAAAGAAGTCAAACAGAAAGATGATGTGTCTATAATTCGTGAAAACACATGCAAAGCACATAAACGTAGCGTTTTGGGATCAATTTTACAGTTTCATCAAAACGCAACCGCCGGTAAAAAACGTGCAGCACAGGATCCATTTAGGCATGCAGCCCCCCCCCCCCCCCCCCTGTTAAATGGGTATTAAAGTCCACATCAACGGCTGTTCAATACAGTCCTTATAACGGCAGTAGAGGCGGTGACAGAATGCCAAGACTGAATGCAGCTCAACGGAACAACGCCATTGGGAGATTACCAGCTGGAGCAACTCAGCAAGAAGTGGACAGGCACTTTGGCGTATCCAGACAGACAATCTCCGCACTTAGAACCCGATACAACAACGCCAACAGAGTTGACGACAGACCAAGGTCAGCTGCGACTCCTCTGAGACCGCACTACCACACCACGTCTACAACCACACAGATCCCTGGGGTACGCAGATTATCCGACCAAACGGTAGGCAACAGACTGAGGGAGGCTGGACTTTTTGCATGAAGACCTGTTCGACGTCATGTATTGACCCCACGTCATCAGGCGGACCGTCTGCTTTGGTGCCAACAGAGGGTTAGATGGGCACGTGCAAGGTGGAGAAATGTAATGTTTACTGACGAGTCCCGTTTCCTACTTACACGTGTTAATGGGCGCGCACGTGTCTACAGACGTCGGGGTGAACGTTACGCCCCCAACTGTGTGCAGCAGGTTGTCCCATGTGGCGGCGGGAGTGTCATGGTGTGGGCCGGAATTCATCACGGTGTCGGACGCCTCTCGTGCATGTGGCAGGTGCATTGACAGGTGTGCGTTACAGAGACTTGATCCTACAGCCTTACGTTCTTCCTCAAGTCAACGTTCATGGCGGACAGCAGGACAACGCTCGACCGCATATTGCACGTGTTTGTCAGGACTTCTTACAGCACAACAACATCCAGACATTACCTTGGCCAGCCCGGTCACCAGATTTGTCCCCGATTGAGTATATGTGAGACGGGTTGGATCGACGCGTTCGCAGAAGGAATCCACAAACACTTCCGGCGCTTCTTGATGCACTTCAGCATGAATGGCAGCTCATCCAACATCGTGACATTGACAACTTGATTGCATCTATGGGTCGTCGGTGTCAAGCGGTGATTGATGCAGAAGGAATCCACCGCCTCAAACACTTCCGGCGCTTCTTGATGCACTTCAGCATGAATGACAGCTCATCCAACAGCGTGTTATTGACAACTTGAATGCATCTATGGGTCGTCGGTGTCAAGCGGTGATTGATGCACGTGGTGGGCACAACCGCTACTGACATTTTCTGTACCCCTGTGACATTAACTGTATCGTGTACTTGTGTCTGTCTAGGTGACACGATTAATGTTTTGAACATTGTGTACATTGATCTTCAAACAGTGTTTCAATTATGGTTTCTGTGTCCTATTTTGAAACAATCGCATTATATTACATTTTGAAAGTCAGTGTCATGTTTCTTTTTTGAAGTGTATATAATAATAATATATGAATAATTTACATGTGTTTAAAATATACACAAAATAAATGGTACATACGTCGTTTTTAAATTGGAATTAT